GATATGTATATCTAATGGTTAATGCAATTCAGGTATTCTTCTTAATTTACAACTTTATAAACTCAGTTTTAATTGATGATGAACTAAAATAGTATTTTTAATTTGCTTTTATTTTATTATAAACATATAAAGAGCATTCGATAATTTAAAAAACAACATGTGGGCAGTGTAACACTGAAGCTTGCTTTTCGGCTTCTAAGATCGTATGACACCAAAAAAATCCGGATAAAGTGGGTAGTTATCTCAATTTCTTGTATTCTTTTTTAAGACCCATTCACTGTAACCCAACTTTTACTAGTGTGCGAAAATTTTTCGTGAGTTTCGCGAGAGCATCGTCATTGCGAATATTTCTCGCCGCGAACCGATCTTTAAAGTCTCTGTGTCTATTATCAACAGATAAAAAAGGCTTCGTGGCGAAAATTAATCGTCGCGAACTAGTTTACCCTAATAGAATCGCGAAATAAAGTCGTTGCCAATAAAGCTGATTTACAGTATGTGTTATATAGTAGTAATAGATTGAATACAATTTCACATTTGTGGGATTTCCTTTTTCCACATTTATTTCAATAAATGTATGTAGGTCAAGATTTGAAAAGAACGCAAAAGTAAGAATGATTTAAAAGCAAAAATATGACTATTTGTATGTATTTCAGCATATTTTAGAGAATTTTACAGTATGTCCTAAATGTAAGGTTTACTTACAATTAAGTTACATGATCTATTCATTCAACCAACAGAGCTATAATTGTCTATAGCAAACATTTGTGACGTGGCTCAAATATTGACAAATATTTCTCTATATATATATATATGTATGACACTCATGTTCCCTTTATTTCAGTATGGAGAGACCTTCTTCGGTTAAAAAATATGGACACCCATTGCCTTGATGATTTTGTTTCTCATATGTTCGGTATTAACATTATAAGCTTCTCCTATAGCTAATTATAGCAAGAAGTACTTTAGAAAAAAAATCAGTATAGATTTTCCCTGAAAGAACTGCATTCTATTTTTTTAAACATTGAATGCTTGATATTGTATAAATCATATTCGTAAATATAATAAATACAACATTATTTCTTAAAAATCAAATTATAAAGATAAGCTGCATGATAACCATATATCGTTGCAAGTTTCTAATTAGATTTTCAAATTGGCTTCCTTCACATAATATTTTTCCCATGCAGCTGCCTATACTCATAACCACGAACCAAGCTGTCATAATGCCTGCCATAGTTCTTCTACTCACACTACTCACACTCAGGGTAGGTTTTATATCTTCTTCGTCGGATTCAATCTATCTGAAATAACAATGAAGATGACTATTAAGCGACACATGAAATTGTTTCTTTTTGTGTCTGGGTTTTAAAATGAAAAGAACCAGCAAATGGAATCGTGGAAGACGACCATTTACTTCAAACTACTCACATATGTTATCTGTTTCTCTTTATTTTGTAGTAAAATACATCACTGATTACATTAATTCTTTGAAATTTATGTAATTCATGTTATTTTTAGATCTTGTCATCGAACATAATGTACATGTAACAGCTTCACTTTTATCCATTTATAAAGGTACTTCACCTCCTACGACTACACAATCCTCCCACCACCACCTATCACGAAGTGAACGTGAGTTATTTTTCTGTTTCTGTGCTTACTTATAGTACTGTACTTTTGTTATCAGTTTTTATCACTAATAAAGGTGCGTGGACACAGATTTGAAGTTAATATTTTCTGTATAATATCACGACTTATATATTTTAATAGCATTTCACACAAAAATTATTAAAAATTTTATCCATCTTAAAGTTATTGAAACTTTAAATTTTTGGATGGGTTTGATTGACAAATCCTTGCACTCCTACAAATTCTAATTTTATTCTTAATACTTGGTAAAAGTTGCAATCTTGTTGTGTATTAATGAAAAATATTAAGACTTTCATCCAGAAAAATAATTATATTCAGAGTAGAAATGCTAGAAAGCAAAACTCCTTTACAAGTATTGTCATTCCGTGCTAAGTGTTGTATACAGAGTTTAGCAAATTGATCACATCCGTAAAACGTACACAGTATTGTAAACAGGGGCCAGTTTCACAAAGCTGTCTTATGACTAAGATCTCTCTTAAGACCGAAAATTATCTTAAGATTGCACCATAGCTGTTTCATAAAACTGTCATATGTTATGATAATCTTAAGATCTATCAAAATCTTAAGACAACTAGAAACATGTCTCAAGTCTAAAGTGAAACTGGCGACAGTTTATTTTAGCTTAAAACCGAAGGGGGTTGGGTCATAAAATCAAATTTGAATTAATTTCATCACCATAAAAAAAATTGAATAAAATTTGTTTAAATGTTTTTTTGCTCAGAAAATAGTAGTTTCTGAAGAAATTTATGAGATGCTTTTTTAATTAAAGGTACTTGAGTATCTGAACTTTTGCAATTAATGAATGATTATAGCTATGAATTCTTTTGAAACACCAAAAAATCGTGTTCAAAATTCGTTCATAAAATTTGATGATAGTGTCCTTAAAACGCTTCAACTACTGCAGCAAAATAACAATGCTAACAAATGAAGAAAAGAAATTTATATATATTATTTTATAATTTAATACTATTAAGAAAGAATGAAGAAAGCATGTACATACAGCATCAAATGTTACAGAATGATTTTCATACACAATACGCATTTCTGTAGATAAATGAGGGATACCCCAAGAAAAAACTTCTTTCATTTTCATCTAATTTTGTACGACTGAATGAAATGTGTACTTTCTAATTTAAAAAAAAAAATCACCATAATATAACAAAATAAATTAAAATAAAAAACTTCTGAAAAAATACAGTGTAGCTACATATAAGTTTTTTTTTTTACTTTCAGGTCTTATCTAATCCATAAAAATGCATATACTTCGTATTTATGTTCACTAAAAAGTAGGGCTGGGTACTGGCCAAAGATTTCGCAAATGCGATATATTGCGATATTTTTAACTGTATTGCGATATGTATTGCAATATTTTTAACGTTATAAAAATGGCATTTTCTTATTAACTTTAATTTACATGCAGAATATACATAAATATGATAAGCAAAAGGGAAAAAACTTGTTAATTTTATCAGATTTCTGCTCTGAAATACACACATAAAACAGTTTCTGTGCTACTGTTTGACTTAATAACAACCTTTCTTACATTTATTTTTATATTTAAAGATGAAATTCCTTAGTCTAAGCAATTTGCCAATATATTGATATTACAAAAACGTATTGCAATACGACATTTTTTGTCACTGAATTGCAATATACCGAAATATCGATATTTTTGCCCAGCCCTATTAAAAAGACCTATCAATAAACTACATGTATCTCGAACTCAGGATCTGGAATTACTTTAGCCATCTTAAGAATTGCTTAAGTTAGCTATACTTGGTCATAGTTATTGTGCTATTCTTGCGGGGTATAGGATTCAAATGAAACAGTTTTGAATAAAGTTATATATGATTTATGGATTTTACATACATGACCTTAAGAAGCATTTAGGGGGGTGCAATTTCAGTTGGGAGGGGACACAAGCTAAGGAAAAATGCATTGAAATGAATAGAGTGGAAAAACATGAAGTAGGTACATTTTAGGTATTCTATCGTTTATTTATTGGCAAAATTATTTTTTGCCTGGGGGGGGGGGTGTCATCGTATATAGTCCAAAGTATTGTTATATCACTAAAAACCGTTTATCTTTAAATATTCTTCGGATTTAAGCCAAAAATATACAGCTCAACACACTTTTTAAACTCACATGGTTTTTCGCAAAAATTAAGGTCGCATTGTTCTTGCACTAAAACTTTAAATTATCGAGTTTCAGTACGAGACATAATCTTTATATTATCAAATATTTTATGTTTAAGGTGCATATTCTCTAAAATCATTATCTAAAATTTTAAATGTCAATGTTCTAAAAAGGAAATGATTTATAAATTGTATGATGTTAAATGTGTATGGTTCTACCATAGGTATTTACAAATTAATTAATCGAACTTTCTTTGAAACGGTTGGTTGAAATGTTCAAATTAACTTCTTACAGATGAGTATTTTTCTAGGTTCTTTGCACATTTTCCATACTTCTCTTGGTTTTGTAGAAATACAGCGCCGAAAAATGACAAAACTGCTTAAAGAAATCATGTGAAAGGATAGGATAATAAAGTATTGTTTATCTTTCAACATAGTAAATTGTAAATATTGAAAAGAAAATTCTTTTACATTTATGGTCTGAAACTTTGAAATTTTGCGTTGGAAGGTATCTTTCATGATGCTAGATTTCAGGAAGTTAACCTGAAAAAATGCCATCTTTTAACATGGAAACCAGTCAAACAGATGAGAAATACTTCTTCCATCTTGCGCTTTTGTGTCATATTGATGTTTAGAAAATACAGAGGTTACATGAACTGCACTGTTTGTGTATTAAGGCAAGGCAAAAGTATGCTTTAAAATGAACGGATACAAAGATGGTTGCATTTGAGGAGAAACCATGAAAAAACATTTGGAAACTCTCATAATATATCATCCAAGAGTATATAAAAATCCTACAAATTATTATGTGTGAATTATGTTTAAAGTAATGGAATATGATCAAAATTAAGTTATAAATCATTTTTAAAATATATTTCGTTGTCATGTTACACAATTTTACATTATAACAATGTGACCTTAATTTGTGCGAAAAACCTTGTGAGTTTAAAAAGTGTGTTGAGCTGTATACTGTCGCTAGTTTCACTTTAGACTTAAGACATGTATCTAGTTGTCTTAAGATTTTGATAGATCTTAAGATTATCATAAGATATGACAGTTTTGTGAAACAGCTATGGTGCAATCTTAAGATAATTTTCGGTCTTAAGACAGATCTTAGTCATAAGACAGCTTTGTGAAACTGGCCCCAGGGCACGAGCTTTGTTATTGTTGATGTTTACGATTCACTGGGTGCGTTCAATTGTTAAAGTCTGCTCACCACAACTGCATGGACTGTGTGTATATTTTGCTTCCGAACATTTCTACTCTGAATTTTCTGGACTGTAGTTTTAATATTTTTAATTTATACACAACAAGATTGCCACTTTTCCTAAGTATTAAGAATAAAATTAAAATTTGTGAAAGTGCAAGGATGTGTCAATCGAACCCGTCTAAAAATTTGAAGTTTTAATAACTTTTAGATAAAATAAAATTTTTAATATATTTTTGTGTGAAATGCTATTAAAATTAATAAGTCGTAATATCATAAAGAAAATATTAACATCAAATCTGTGTCCATGCACCTTTAAATTCCTTTGCTTACGCATACACCCGACTCTACGTATATGTATAAATAAGAAAGTATTTGCGACAAATTATTTGCAATAAATAAATTTGAGACAAATACACTAAGAGTGGATTGAGTGTGTAATGAAATGATGATTTTTAGGCATCCATCGTTTCCATATCGTCAATATCTGGTTATACTGTTTACACTGTTTATTTTGGTTGTTTTATTGTGAAGTTATTCCATTCCAAGATTATGGTGATTAATGATTGATAAAGGCTAGATATACGAATTTTTCTATTATGAATTTGGGGGAAAAACAAAAAAATGCACATATTATTTGGATCAGATTATTCAGAAAAATGTAGCATATTTTACATAACAATCACCATCGAGTTGAATTGAAACATACCTAATACATTTTTGTTACAATCATTGCAGAATATCAGCTTTTTAAGAAAGGAGAATGCCTCAGTGAACATACAGGTACTATGTTTTTCTAATATAATTGGTCAAAATGTAATGATTTATCTTGTTTGCAGAATGGTTGCCCGCAATCGTAATAGAATAATGAACAATGAATGATAGAAAAATATGATTTTGAGAGAGAGAGAGAGATAGCGCGCAAAAAATTTAGAAAATAAATGGATAAAATTAATAACAAGATCGTGAAAAAGGTTTAAAAAGAAGAAATAAAAATATTTCTTTTAGACAATTTAAATTCAGAAAACTGAAAACTAACAAACATTTGTTTTACGATGCTATACATTTGTAAATACAAATACATAATAAACTGTTACTACATATTCAAAACCCATATTCTTTAGAGGTAAATAAAGTACAAACAGGGTAACAGAGTAAAGTTACACTAAGTTCTAGGTCCCTGAAAGGACGATTGATTTGAAAATATTTTCTGATTATTGTTTTCGAAGATTGCTCCGGAAAACTTGGACTAACGACAGTCCACTTCTTGAGACTTAAATTGAGACTATTGTATCTTGTGATCTATACAGTTGAATAAGAAGGAAGGAGTGAATCAATATTTTTAAAACTAAAACTGTCAAGAATTGAGAGAAGTGCATTATCCTTTTTTTCAATTTTGCCCATTTTTGGGTCAGTGTGTATCTTTAAACTTTAACCTTCAGCTCGAATTTTATTTTTGAGTTTAAATGTGTAAGTGACACAAGTGTAAAAATCTTACAGTATATTTATACTTTGTTAAAGAAGTACAAAACATTATTCTTTTCAGTTTATACTCTAAAATGTTATTTTTTAATTTCTTCAAGAAAAAGGGTTCTTGAATTTTTCACTAAAACGTTCAAAAATGTTCTAGAGTCTTGATCCCACCGATTATATAATTAAAAAGTAATTATTTTTCGGACATCTTCTAGTATGGTCTTTCCTTAATCATGAAACTGGCTATCCAAATGGTATGAGGAGAGATGCTGTCATAAACCAGATGGCAGGTATGAAAAGTCTTTCTTTTTAAACAGTACACGTACAGGCTTGATGTCGTTCATGATTAGTTACACATTTGTATAACCTTAGATTTTATACTCGTTAAGTTGGGGAGTTTTTTCACTTTATATTTACAATTACGCACTTCGTACTTTTTTTGGAGTTAATTTTGCAGTTTTATCATACTACGTACATTTATATACATCAAATAATTTGAGTGTTATTTATAACAGCAATGAACATTAAAAAAAACTTATGAGCCCAATGACATGGACCCATGGACATGGATAACTCTTTATGCTTAAATATACATGTGCATGATGTGTATGTATGTCAGTGTAGTTATCCTTTATATCTCTGTCATGTACTGCAGCACTCTTTCCCAATGGTACAGATGATTATTGCGAGTGTAACAAGAGCTTTGATCTACATTACAGTGGAGGCCGGGGTACGTTCATTATGCAAATTGTATAGCGATTTTGACGATAAATCATTTTTAGAAAATAACTATAGAGGTAGTTAATGGATAAAAATTTTACAATTAAGAGTTGCAAATGGCAGGGTTTTTATAATATTGGGATAAGAGAGCAGGGTTGAAATGTTGTTTTTTTTTTTTTGTTTTTTTTTTTTTGAAAATTATTCTTTTAAAAATTATTCTGAGAAATCGTTGATTTCAGATAGGACAGCTTGGGACTGTGCAAGACATTACCATAGTAACCCGTATAGAAGTATGTATGATTCTCAGTACCTGATTTAATAACCGAATGAGTATTCTCAGTGATATTATCGTTATTTATCCGATGTTTACCCCTTTATCTCGTGGATATGTCTCATTGGATATTTTTCGTATCCCACGGTTGTGACGTCACAATGGCTTTTGCGTTAGCTTAATGAAGAAAAATAAAGTGCAGTCCTATTTATATTTATAAATAAAAAGTATGTAAAACATTGATTGTGAAGTATTAAACATGGGATAAAAAGAATCCCCCATGATTAGTAGTTGGATATGATTTTCATCGAACTCGTTGAGTGTCTTATCCCCTCGCCAAGGCTCGGGGATAAAAAAAGGCAGTTCGTTGGATAAAAATCATATCCAACTACAAATCATGGGAGATCGTATATTTATTCGCCAAGTTTAAAATGATAATATAGCCATTATTCACTTGTTTGATTATATTGTTTGCAAATTATTTCAAACATCTGAGTAATCTAAATCTATTGAATTTTAATTCAAGTACTACTACATTTGCGCAAGGAATAAGAGTAATAGCTGGCAGTACTATACAAATATAATTATTCTATTTTCTCCAATAATATATGTATTACTTCAAATGTAACGTCAATAATAATTGCTAGCAATAAAATAATGCCTTAAAAAGATAAAACAATGACTCGTTTATAAGGACTTTAACGTCAATAACAAAATGGGATTTAAAATACTTAGAGAAGTTGAGCATTGTTTTTGAAGGGAAATGCAAATTTTATCTTTCTATTTCATTTTAGGTGCTATATCACATTTCCTCGACCAAATGAATATTGCTCATTCAACGTCGCAGTCTTGTCATTCGCATACAGCTGGTATTTGTAACAATTTAATGTTATTAACTCTGTATACTTGATAATCATTTGAAATATACACTTTGGTGTTTCGGCATAGTTAGCGTTAAATATTTGATAGAAAGATTTATCAGCTCAGGGGACGAAAGAGAAGTACCGATGGACAGGATCAAAAGAACTGACAAGAACAAAATTGCAAAAAAAAATTGCCGAAGAAAAATTTTTGTCATTGTGACTTACTTGAGAATCATTATGCAAACAATTAATTTTTGCTTTTATATATTTTGCATCAAGGTGCTAGACTGCTAGTGAACATTTCTAATATAGATTTGTTAAATGCTGTTTACATATCTAACATATATATTTTACAGGACCCTCTATGCGCTACACTACACTATACTTTAAAGCTGGTACTTTTATGATCTGTCCATAATTATTCAATTTTAAATTGAAATCTAAGGTGTATGTAACAGCTTGTAATCAATTCAAAATTTCGTGCCATTTTATTTGACTAAGATGAAGTAATTGAATACTTCACTTGCATGTCCCACTTAAAGTCAGCAACAGCGATTCTGTTCATCATTATTTGCTTACCTTTCAAAAATTTTCTCGGGGTATAATGGCAGATACCCTATGTTGAAAAATAAATAAGATTAACCTGAAATTGCCAACTTTTTAAAATTTAATTTTCTTAAACACCCAAAACTTTTTCATTAGTGTATAGATGTTCCTTCATATTGACCGATTCTTATATTAAGACATGTTGTTGTCATGAATTGAAGCCAACATGAAGTAATTGCTTTTTAAATAATTATACAATTTGAGGTAGAGTTTGTAACGTACCTGCTTGCTGTCTCATTTCCTAACAAGCGTAGTCGTGTGTTTGGCTCTAATAAGTCCTTAAGATAGAGTCAGTACACCATAATAGAGTCAAAGATTTTAACCTTGCAATTAAACAAAAAAAATTCAAGAAGTGTTACAACTCATGATGTGTGCCTTTAAAATTTCTTTCAGTTTGGCAAGAACTTGCTGAGATTGTAGAACACAACCATGATGGTCACGACTGTGCAGAGAACTTGATACGGCATTTGTATGGTAATGCACTATGTTTGTTAATTGAAATACAAAGTGAAAAATAAGTGCTATAACTAATTTTATTTTGTACGTGAAACAAATGTTGGAAACACTCTCATTCGCATGTTTTGTCAACTACCGGTAGTTACGACTTGGATAGATTAGAGCACATTTCTTATATATACTGAAAGGAAAAAGAAACGCAGGGTAAACTTTTGAGGTGAATTAAATTTGTTTTCATTTGTATTTTTTTTTTCAATATTCCTATCTAACTTTTAAAATCATCTTTTAAGAACATGTAACCATGTAACCATGCAAAATCCCATTTAATTTCGTCTTATAATTCATGAATTATTGAAACTCACATGACGATACCCCCAAAGGTGAAAATCAAAAACTCTCATTATCTTCAATGTGTCCCCTGCGCATCTGTCACAGCCTTGATTTTCCTTTTCATGGAATTCATCAAAGTGTTTATCTTTCAAGCCCTGGCTATATTGGGCATGGGTAACCACACCGAAAAATTGGTCAAAAGACGCGGACATGCGCCAGTGAGAGGAACACAAATGTTAAGTTGACCGGCTCAAAAACCCGAATTGATTTCTTCCAGTTTTGGGATGAATGTAATAATCGAGATAGTCTATTGTATTAATAGCGGTTTTGTGGTAGTAAGGTGGCGATTAAACAGGTGGCAGGAAGAATAACCCGATTTTAACGTGAATCTGTTTTGTGACAACGTCATCGTCATGGTTGGTTGGAAACCATATAATGATTCCAAACTCTCTTTGACAAGGGATAAGGTATCGCCTGTAAATATTGAAAAACAATGATACAATAAGATTTCTTAACAAACTTATCGTCATCAATTTGCACGTAATTTTGACTTTCAGCGTTTTCCCTACGTGATGACACACTTTTTACGGTTGAGTAATTCTGGACGCATGGTTTGATGCATAGTTACTAACATTCTCATCTGACCAATTTTTGTAATTTTAGGTAATGCGGTCAAAAACTTTCAAATATTATGCTACGTACCCTGAATGTCTTTTTCCTTTCAGTATATGTTTAAACGTATATGTTTATCCTGCACAAATTAAATATGTTTTACTAGTTCATCAGCCTGTCAATATATAAATGAGACATTTTAAAATTCCAAGATTTGAAAACTTTATGTTCTACATCAGAGAGCATTTTTTTAATTATTTTTATTTTTCAATCCAGACATATCGTCAAAGTTTAAAATAACCATCTTTTAAATTACAACAGACTCTGTACGCCATCAAGGAGACCCATGTTCATGCCACACCGGTAGAGTACCTATTTAGATTTGTTTTTCGTTTAATTTAAATTCTTTATATTAGTAGAATCGTGTTTGAAACTTTTTTTTCAAGGGGATGGAACGCAATTAAAGTTTCGACATTTATTATTTCGATTTCTTCATTATTACGAACAAATAGCGAAATTAAGTATTTAATATACATATCTGTTTATTATTACATGTAATCTTTTATCCATAGAATCACTATAATAATAAAAAAAAATTGAAATGCTATGTGAAACTTCTTAAGGGATTAAATTGGAGATGGAAAGCTGCTATACATGACTTACGAAATGTTTTTCATTATTGATATTTTTATAACCCCGCTTGGAAAGTGGGAGGGTATATATTGATCGAGATATCCGTCCGTCCGTCTATTTTACTTTTTGATCTGACATATATTTTTGGTTTTCCAAGCAAAACATGGACAAGAGCATTATTTCTATAATATTGAAGTGTACCGATCTCTTATCCGCAACTCCTCCTTCAAAATTCGTTCATAAAATTTGATGAAGGTGTCCTTAAAACGCTTCAACTACTGCAACAAAATAACATTGCTAACAAATGAAGAAAAGGAATTTATATATATTATTTTATAATTTAATACTATTAAGAAAGAATGAAGAAAGCATGTAGATACAGCATCAAATGTTACAGAATGATTTTCATACACATTACGCATTCCGGTAGATTAATGAGGGATACCCCAAGAAAAAACTTATTTGATTTTCATCTAATTTTGTACGACTGAATGAAATGTGTACTTTCTAATTTTAAAAAAAATCACCATAATATAAAAATAAATAAAAATAAAAAACTTCTGAAAAAATACAGTGTAGCTACATATAAGTTTTTTTTTTACTTTCATGGACTAATCTAATCCATAAAAATGCATATACTTCGTATTTATGTTCATTAAAAAGTAGGGCTGTGTATTGGTCAAAGATTTCGCAAATGCTATATTTTGCGATATTTTTAACTGTATTGCGATATGCATTGCAATACATGTATTTTTAACGTTATAAAAATGGCATTTTCTTATTAACTTTCCAACGGAAGACCTTCTACTGATTCTGATGGTAAAGATTATTTAAGATCTTCCGTTTCCAACGGAAGACCTTCTACTGATTCTGTTGGTAAAGATTATTATTCTTTTTTTTCTTCTGCTTCCTAGACCGCAACTTTGAGGCCTCATATCTCGCTCATTTCTCAACGGATTTCGCTCAAATTTTCAGACGTAATAGACGTTCATAAACTCTATCAAAATAATGTCTAAAATTTCAAAAAGCTACTTCCGGTTTTGAGTTATTTCCCTTTAAAGGAAAATTTATAGGCTTTCGTTTCCAGACAAAGGCTCAGAGACGGCTAAAGCTGGAGCAGAAATTCTACTGATTTTAGATAATAGAAGGATTGAAGTTGTGCACATCGGTTTTTGTTTTTCGATTTCAGTATTCAAAATGGCGCTATATAGGGGTCAAAAATTAGAACGCGTAAAAGAACCAAAAATTAATCATATTTTTCTTTTTATCTTCTAAACTAAAAACATTTTGTTAAAATATATAGAACATAATTTGTGCAGAATTAGAAGATCTTTCAAATGATATGTGGAAAAAAAGGGCTGACCCCTAAATTAAGGGACCTAGAGGGGCCAAAAGTTTTTTCCAGATATCTCAAAAAGTATTGAGAATTTGTTATGCATCAAAGAAGCAAAGTTGTTCAAAATATCAAGTTTTATCTAATGGGGTCGTCAAAATACGTCCGGCGACGTCACTTCCGGAAGTAGTCAGAAAATGCATATTTTTGCCGTTTTTGACAGGTTTTTGGGTAACATGTCTCACTAGAAGCTTAAATATTCAATTTTCCGTCCGTCGTCGTCACTTCCGGTCAAACCGGAAGTACCAAAGAATGGCTTAAGTTTGCTATACTTAACATAGATTTGGAGGATTAACCCATTTTTGGACTTCATTACTCTTTTTTTTTAAATGAAATTACTTCCGGTCAAACAGGACGGAAGACCTTTCGTTGCTTTGCAACGAGCTCGGCTTTAGTTCTTATTATTCTTTTTTTTTTGGTTTTCTTCCTAGACGCCAACTTTGACGCTTCATATCTTCCTCATTCCTGAACGGATTTTGTTCAAATTTTCAGAGGTTTTAGACTTTTTAAAACCCTTTTAGAATACTGTTACACAATTCGAAAATTTCCTTCTATTTATGAGTTATTCTACTTTGATTGAATTTTTCATGCTTCTGATTTCCAGACAAAGGCTCTGAGAAGGTAATAACTGGAGCACAAAACCCTTTGAAATTGAAAAGAGGAAGCATTGAAGTTGTGCACATCGGTTTTTGTTAAATGTTTTTTGCATTAAAAATGGCGCTAGAGAGGGGTCAAAAGTTAGAACGCGGAAAACAGCAAAAAATATGACATATTTTCTTTATATCTTGAAAAGAAAAAATATTTTGTTAAGACATATTGGAAAAAAGTTGTGCATTATCGCAAGAGCTTTCATTTGATATCATTTAAAAGGGGCTGGCCCCTAAAATTAGGGATCTAGGGGCCTTGAAAGTTTTTGCTTTATAACTCAAAAACAGTAAATATTTTGATTGGCTGTCGATTATGAAATCGTTCCTTTATACCATTTCTGTCCTATGAAAATATTATTTTGTTCGAGTCTTGCGTATGGTAGGAAAGAATGCTAGATCCGTAAACACGGCCCCGTTCTCATTTTGCTATTGAACATGTTGAAGGAAAACTTTTTATGTGTATAATTGAAATAAACTTGCCGTAAGTAATAAATATATTACGACGCTGTATCATATTTGTTTAAAAATTAGGTTTTAAATGTGTTCTTTGGCTCCCGCTCAGAGTATTCGATGACAAACTTTTCCTTTTATTAATAAAAATCTTTCTAAGAGAGAGAGAGAGTGATAGAAAAAAGTACGAGCATCTTTTCTTCGTTTAAATATGAACACAAACAATATTAACGAAAACAATATAAGCCCCGGGTCTCATAAAAAAAAAATTTAAGAGTCAAATAATACACAATTATTTACTGCGCAATTCTCACATTCACCTGGAACCCAGATTCTAAGTGTGTTTACCATTACGTAATCTATCCCTCGATTACACACGGTCGAGAAAATCTAAAGCGACACTCCGCGGTGAACCATTGACCCCGCAGTCATAGGCAAAATAATTGATATATTTAACCATTCTACAACACGACAATTAATGGAAAATTATTATTGTCGAATATTTGAGATTAATATGTTGGCTTATCTTTGATTTAAATTTGATCGTGATACATGTAAATCTAAAACAGCTAATTAGGTTTTGTGTTTGTTTACAATTACGCGACCAACCGTGGTCGACGTGTTAAATCTAATTTACAAACTTAGGGGAAAATATTATTTTCTTTAAGTAAATCGAATCTTTCAAAAATATCTTTAAATGTCTTAGGTTTGGCTTTAGTACAAAACGCTGGGGCATTTATTTTACATGTGCATTAATCAGTCTTCAATTTTCAAATGTTTTAGCTCCATGTGTAATTTTACTTTTCATTTTGACGATTCATTGCGTAAGGACAAGCGATCTGTGGTTACTTTACTTCAACCAATATTGATTTAAATGCTCAAGCTTTGCGCATTTCACACACAAATAAATCCGTTTTCAACACAAATTTTCCCAAACACATTTTTTTTCATCACAGATTTTTACCATGACTATACCAATTTTAAACTTTTACAGAGAATCTTCCAAATCATAAGGATAGAATTATAGTCAATGAAATGGATTAAACATCGATAGGTAACTCAGCAAGTGTAAACTTCATAAGTGACTTCTGTCACTGTAGGAAAGCGGCTGACCGTAGTATATATTACGGTCATCAAAACACGTCGGCCGAGGTCACCGGTTAGAATTTTTCAGTCAAGATTTCAAACATTTGCCAGGTTATCTGTGTTAATTCTTGCAAAATTCAAATGTACGCTAATGAAAACTTGCTACTTGTTATTATAACTTACCTGAATTTAAGGAAATAAAGCTGTAGTACAACCTCAAAGTTTTTGACAATGATGACCGTAACAAAATATTAAGATGACCGTAATATAGATTTTCCCAATGAAGTAGGATGACCTTAATAAACATAATTATAATTTAATGTGTTTTCTTTTCTATTGTAGAGGCAGACATATCATGTTATTTTGTGTTAAAAAAGACAAAGATGTTATTGTAATTTTGAACCATAGCTATGGCACGCCAATTGCACAAAAAATGAACCAAACATAGTTTCACAGTCGATAAACTAGGTTTATAAACTAGCATATAAACTAAAGTTTACGGACTGTAAACTATAGTTAACAGTGTTAATCTATATTTTGCATCTTTAAACCATAGTTAAAGCGAATATAAAACATATATTATCTGATAAATACAGTTTCACGATTTGTAAATCTATAGTTTACAGTCGATAATGTTTTTTATCAACCGTGAAACTGTGTTTAGCTCATTTTTGTGAATTTGGCTTGCCATACATAGCATATGTCACCATTTGGAAGCAAAAAAATTCAGCATACGTAAATTAGAACTTAACGCAGAAACTGGAAAAAACTATATATAAATCTATTCGCTTTCCTATATACTTATCTGAACTTAAAGAAAAAAATTAATAATGGATATACAGTGCGTGTAAATGTTGAGAGTAAAAAAATTGAAGTTCATGAAAGTAAACGTCAGCAGCAATGTGAGTTTGGATAAGATGCTGAGACTAACACAGAACACAGTGAAATTAACAGTGTTCTACCTGATATTATCAGAAAAATGGAAGAAATTGGTCCTTTGGACGACTTTTGTTCATTAACGAAAAACATCAGAAACGCCATCATTATATTAGATGGCAACATTGCACTCCACTTGTTGCTTGATATCGTCCAGTTCTATAACGAAAGGACGGTTTATAACATGAGATATAGTGATTAGTCACTATCATTTTTGATAACGGTTGCAAAACTG